TCTGCATGTGAGACAACATCGTGCTCACCCAAACAGACCACATTGGTTTGTTTATTCTTCGATCGTAAGCCTATCATTATGCAACAAAGACTCGGAGGTGTGCGTTGACATTTGTGTAGGATTTGAATCTATAGATGTACTAAGTTGCGCGTGCTCCAGTCTCCCGCAGGTTCTGGTCCACCATGGTCTATTCCCAACCGCTCCATCACAGCCTCGGATGGCTGTGTCTGTGGATCTACTTTCATTCTATCGCACATTGTTTGAGCGTTCATGTGATGCAATTAATGCTCTCGCATCAGCATTAAAGACTCATTATTCTCGACGGGGATTTCAGATGACAGACGCACAAGTAAGTTTCAATTGTGTATTTAAATTACTACTAACATGCTTTGGAAGGGCGGACTTATCCAGGACCCGTTTCGCAGAGGTCTCGGCTATGCTGTCCAGTGGTTTGACATACTGCAAGTCCAAGTCGAACAACAACTCGAGACCCTTCTCCAACAAAGCCGGGACCGCATCATGACCTTGCAAGCAACATCTGACGTCCCTGAAATTCATTCTCCTACCCTACATCCAGGTCGATGCGCGCCCCTTCTGGTTCAAAGATGCCCTGCTTGTTTCGGGGGCATACTTTATGGTAGATCCCCAGACGATGGAGGCGATATTCATGTTGCAACGGATGGGAATTTCCATCACCGCCACCGACGCGCAGCTGGCGATTGTCCACCCTTCTATGACCCTACATACTTTATCCCAAAAACCTTCGTTGATGGTATCGGCCGCCGGATAGACGCCCTACATAAGCATCCTCCAAGAACTTATGCTTCCCTCATCCCTGACGAGGCTGTGGACCAATGTGAAACTTCTTATGAGGCTGCTGACGGCAAGAAGCAGAAGACCGCGATGGATAACTTCGATGACACAGGTATTATGGCATTAATTTGTCGCCATGATATCCCGTTGTTTTTCGCTAACATCGATTCTCCTGGAGAACAACAGAAATACTCTGTAGCCCTCCTCCAACACTTGTTTTCATTACTCCCGCACCAGGCAACAGTTGTTGCTTTATATGACGTTGGATGTGTTCTGGCGCGATCCCTCGCAAAAGTATGCTATCACTAACGTTTAGATTGCTCGCTCACACCTCTCCAGTATGATATCCTTCCTGAAAGTATCACCACACGACTTCGTTTTGCGACGACTGCAATGCATGCCTACGGCCATGAGTGGGCATGTCAGCTCATTTATAACCCACGAATGTGCGTTGGGCTTGGCCTGTCCGACGGGGAAGGGACCGAGCGTCTTTGGTCGCGCTTTGTTCGCCTGATTGGTATTGAGAGGACCTCTTCCGTGCGTCCCGCCTCAATTTCATTATAACCCTATTCACGCGAAACCTTCTTTAGCGTCAACGTCGCCTCTGGCTGATTGATCGGCAAGCCGCAGCCATAGGGTCCGAAATGCGCGCTGATCTCGGTGATTGGATCAAACGTCGCCTTAGACGTGGCATCAAAGAACAAGGGTCTGCAGCACAAGATGTACTAGACCGATGCGAAATCCCTATCGACGAGTTACGGTCTCAGTGGTCCCACCAACGGCATTCACAGTTATCCATACGTGCTCGTGAGTTCATTTTATTATAGTGCATTAGTATTGATAAACGGTCCTCCAAGACGCTCCATCTCGCCTCAAGAAAGAGCTGGACACCGTGTTGGCCCTCCAGGCAGATCTCGATGCATCGGACAGAGCACTACAGACTACCAGAGTAATGCTAGAAAAAGAATCGGCCTCTGACGATACATTCGAAGCTCTGCTGAGCCTGGAGAGGGGACATAGTCGGCTAATGGACAAAGTTGAGGCTCTTTACTCATCTCTAAACGTTCATGATCGGTTCCCTGAACTTCAAGGGGTCAATCTTGATTTTGTTCGTACCCTTTTAATGGCGCGGGACCTCAAAATTAATGTTCGCAAACGTGCCGTTGCAAGCTTCTTCGAGTGGGACAAACTTGACCGCGCGTTGGAGGCGCCCAACAAGCTCTAGGTGAGTTCGAACCCCATTGTTAATTACAGTGGTATACTTGTTAATTACCTACAGGCACTAAGCTCCATCAGCATACGCGCAAAGCTATAGCAAAGCGCCAACCTGCCCTCATGACCGCTATTCGAAAATTCAACTCCTACTGTGAACGGTTAGCTTCCCTTTACGAACCGAGTTGGGGGATTCCCCTGCCTTCCCCTCTTCCAACGAAACTTACGGAACTACGCAACGACCCCAAATTAATGGAAGATGTATGGATTACACCATCGGTAGGAGAAGTTCCCCAATGGTTGGAGGACTCACGCATCAGGGACGGTATACGTGCACTCCTCAAACGGGATCAATGTGAAGAAGAACATATCCGCCTCAGCATTGAGGCTGATATCTTTGTCGTTTTCTTTGGTGATGAGCTTGGCAGCGCTCGAACTCGCTCTTTGGTTGCCAGAAAGGGAGTGGATTCTATTCTTCTAGCAACTTTTTGCTGATGTGTAATCTAACTTAGATGAACCGTTTGCTGTCCATTACAGCAACAGCATGCTAATTTTGTCCGACTTCAATCTCGATGGTCCAATTCCTTAGCTTCTCCGGCATGCTTCACTAGCCTAGTCAACAATGCACTGGAGGTAGCTACCACCCTCTCGGGAACCTCGCGCAGCACGACACTTCTTGCCATCAATGCTGGCATACCTGCAGCGCCAGATCTCGAGGGTGGGGATGAATTTTCCATTGCTGATCCTGACCATCCTCCTCCCATTGATTCTGAACAAACAGTGCTTGCTGACGTTCTGGAGGGTCAGATAGGCACGGTAGAGTGGGATGATGATGATGATGATGACTCAACTGATCATATGCGCGAAGCTACTGCCGTCATTCATTGGGAACTTCCTGAGGTGGGTTGACATTTACTGTCAGGAATATGGCACTGATGTATCATACTAGAATCTTCTTGCAGATGATTTTAATGTTCCATTGCGTGAGCGCGGCATTCTCATATCAGGCAAAATTGTCTCCCGAGTACAACCTAGCTCGGATGGAATCCCGTATCAGATATTGACCCTAGGGACATCGGTTTCCTTAGTTCTCCTACAGCACGCCTGAATGATGTATGCATCAACAGTTGTGCCATACTTCTCTGGCACTCTCAACTCAGGACATCGGGTGCACAATGCGCCATCCTCTCAACCCACGATCTTCCCCGTATTCGTTACAATGCGCCAGACAATGTCATTTGGCGCAATACATCATGGGTTCGTTATTGGGAAAAGGATATTGGGTACTTCCTATTCATCGTCCGTCGGGCATTGGGCACTGGGTGCTATGTGTCATCCGGCTGTCCACAAAAGAACTTCATCTTTTTGATAGCCTAGGTGACAGGCAGCCTTGGCAAAAGGACGTCGAAGTGGGTTCAATTTAAATCATGCGTTTGCGTTTGACTGATCGGATCTTAATGAAAGGATATAATGAGATTAATTGTTCGGTTCCTTGCTATTGCGCGCCAACACGAATATCGTGTTAATATTGACCTTGAAGGCTGGGTTGCTCGACCTTTGAACGTCAGTTTCATCCTCCATTTTTCACAACTTTGCCGACCACTTCGTGTTGTTTTAGGTCCAACATCTTCAGAACAATGATTTCGACTGTGGTGTATGTGTTTTGGCGACGATTTTTGCTATTGTACGCGGCAAACATATTACAGGAGTACGAGAGCAGGACATGGACGATCTACGATACTATCTGCGGACTATGGTTCTTGCATTACCAGTTTACAGGCATGATTCGAAGTAGAGTAGTACAATAACAGGTATTATGGACTAAGACAATATGGATTCTGCCCAGTAACTAGCAAATCAACCTCCCTCTGGTAAGTTAAGATCCTCCGCGCGACCCCATGGCGGTAGCACTCAGCCATAAGCTTGTGTCTTCCACATACCTGTAGGTTGTTAGCGATACGAGCATTCAGGTCATCCCAGCCTTCAAGCAACCTCTTCTGTGCGTCTCGAAGCTCCTCCAAAACTTCAGACACCCCTCCTGCATCATACACAGCTTGACGATGAGCGCGAGATTCCCTGTCCACACGCAAATTATGTCCGTGCATCACATCAAAGAGATTCCGTGTAAAACGCTGTTCTTTGGGTGAGTCGGGTGGAGGCAGAGAATTGTAAGGCGGGGCTTTATCCCACTGGGAGAGATCCGAAACATCGATCAAGTCAGAACCATGGAGCGATTGGTGAAAGAGAAATGATTTGGGAAGAGGAGGATTGGCAAACTGTGAGATTGAAGACGGTAGAGGGTTGTGCAGGGCCCTAGGAGTTGTATGAGGTCCGCGTCGACCATGACGTTTGGCGTAGGCACGAGCATTCTGAGCCTGTTGAATGATCTTGCCTCTGCCAAACATATCAACAACGTTGCAATAACAAGTCACTGAATGATACCTACCGTTTTGACTGTAAATATGATTCCGTATGTTGACGAGCAGCTGCTAGTTTTTCTTCCAATGTGAGGGTACTTAGCTCGGCGGCCCATGGTGAGGTTAGTGATTGGACAAATAGTCAAAGTCAACCAAAGTTGATATGAACATCTCGCTGCTGTACCACCTAGTTACCTGTTGAAATGTGATATGGCCATCCACAATGAAGTTCTTGTCAAAATCTTTGTATGAGCATGATGGGGCGTGTTGCTAGCGTCGACGAGGCTAGTCCAGACAGCGTGATAAGTGGTCAATGCCTGTACATATGTCTTTCAAGTTCAGCACTATTGGTATCTTCAATCTCATTGGCTCACAATTGTCTCATGTTTATGAAGGATCTTAGCACGGTTCAAACGTTCAATCTTCTTTTATACCTCCATGTCTTAAACGACACCGCTCACAATGTACGTATCAAAATCCAAACAAGTGAGCAATGGCAAAAAGAAGATTCTAGCACTACATAACCCCAAGTGTGACATCTCTCAGCCCCACTTTACTTCAAAGGGACGCCAGAAGCTCATCCACCTCTGCCTCGGCTTCATCTTCCCCACAAGCAGTCCCATCAGAACTCTGCGAACCTTGCCCAATGCAGGTTATCTGCGGAATGAGCTCCTGGATGCTACCTACCAGTGACAGGTCTCGTCCTGGATTGAAACTCGACCTCCAGGAGGGTGGGGGGAGTGGGACCTCAACGAACATCTTGAGTTTCTGCCAGTGACGCATTGCGTGAGCCACTACAGGAGTGTGTGCACCAGATAGCGGCCCACGAGCAGGCCGGCACCATGCAAGAGATGATGCAGGATTTCGTCCACAAGACAATGGCCCAGGAGCTGGACATTGTGCAGAAGGTGGCTCAGGAGAGCTGTGGTTGACTTTGAGGCGAGGAAGACCCAGCCAATCACATCGACCATTCGCATACCAGCGCCACCCATGGGTGTGGTCAGAATGAGGTGCAGGTGCTTCCTCGATGATGACACGGCTGCGGGAGGCCACAAGATTTGCGAGGGCACCTTGTTTGGTGATGGTCTTGATGGTGAGCAGGTTGTTCTTGAGGGCATCCGCAAAGACTCGGTGCTCACGAAGTGAGAGGTCGTGGTACGCAACTATCGCAGATGAGATCATGCATGGCCTTCGATGATTAATCACAGATGCAGCATGCATGAGGCTGTTTGCGGGAGTAATTAAGTGAGGGCGCTGGGTGCTCGCCGCTGGCCCAAATTTTTCACGCGGTCTGACCAAAAAGGAAATTTGCTCGTCTGATTGCATTGGTGGGATGATGGCTATTTGTAAGTAAGTTTCGTTCAACCACCGCACTCTCACCTACATCTTACCATTGTTTCCGCATCAGTTGGCAGTACGTTGGGTGGCTGTGAGTTTGTGACTCCATTAGTACGTTTCAAACTCAGTACTAGTTTTATTTTCAATCTGATTGAGTCTCGTTAACACCATTAGTGATTTGTATGGAACCCTCCTTGGAGCCTCGCCGCAAGAGGCACGATATTGTGAGTGTAGCTCTCTGACCCTCCACAGAGCCTTTGTAAAATCAATTCGTATCTCATATGTAGCCTCTCTATCAATGCTCATCTATCTCTTTTTAGTCTTAATGAACCGATGGTCCTTCCACCAAGCAACGCTGTGGTTATGTGTCTTAAGTATGAGCCCTTGGGATACGTTTTCTTTCGCCTCCAGTATTCCCCTCAATTTTATTTAGCATCTTGTACAATTCACCCAAAAAACAGATCTCCTCAACGTTACCCTCGTTGAACGTCCCTCTGTTCTGGTAAGCAACATTCTTTCGTGTTACTACTTGGAATGATGCCTATGCGCATGCTGCCCTCAATTTTAGTATTTTACGCGATCCGCTCAACAGACAGACCACCTCGACGTTACCCTCGTTGAACATACCCCCGATCTGGTAAGCGACACCCTCTTGTGTCAGTATGATGTCTATACTTATGATGCGCTGGAGATCAGGTTTCAAACATCTCACTCCGATATATTCTCGCCATCGCCTGTTGTATATAGGTACGCATGCCCACGTACCAAATATTGCTCTGTCATTGACATCTTAACTGCAGACATGACGCAACAAAAGCCAGAAATGCCTTCTGGTGTCGACCAACAGCCATCTCCTGGTCCAAGCTACATGGGCTCATCCCCTGCATCCTTCGACTATGTTGAGGAACAGTTTGGCGGAGGTCGTCGATATGAAGCACCGCCTGCCGAGTTGACTCCCTCACGGCTGAGGACCAGACTCAAGGCCACAGTGCGGGACGTCGGTATTGTCAAGGACGCCTCTGCCCGACGCCAGGCCTATCAAAATACCTCTAACGACGTTCAGCTTTCCGTTGGTCCATTCCACCACGTGGTGCAGGACGGTGCTTCAACTTCAACAAGCGATACGTCATCGCTTACGCTGAACGTGGCTTACAGTCGGCACAACTCACCCTTTCCTCCACTACAAGGTCCTGCACAACTGCAGGATTTGTTTTACGGCCCTATGGACCAGCAGTCTCCTTGGATGCAGCAAAACCCATCTGGTGATTTCGGAATGATGCAGCCTGATACTTTCACGGCTGGATTACTCGGAGATCAAGCTCTAGGCATGGCTGGAGCGGGCGACAAGTCGCTGTGGCCTGCACCGTCTGTGACCAACGTGCAAGACTGTAAAACTACCAATGCGCAGAACACAACCCACCTTGCACCTCTGCCTTCACACACGCCTTTTCATTTTCCCGCCAGTTCATCTGGTCAGCCTCTCATGTCTCGCGGATGTTCGCTGGATCCAGCAGGCCAACCGTCTTCGGGATTGATGCAGAACTCACCATTCACCCTGCATCCTGCACCATATGTACCGCCTCAAGATCATGCCCATCCTATTCCAGCCACAAACATCATCCCGCCAACACCACTCAAGGATGGTGGCGGTAAGACTCCTGGTGCCTCTGCGTCCACTGATAATGCACTCCTTGCCTCGACAAGAGATCCTAGTCCAAAGTTGGACCTAGGTCACTATTCTCCGGCTACCACCTACCGCGTTCGGTTCCCTGAAGAGAGTGAGCCGAGAATGCACCAGGAGGATCAAGCGGTAACTGGCCGCAGGTCAGCAGATATGAACGCAGCACTCGACACTGGGTTTGTGGGCATTGAGCATCACTTTCTTGAGCTCGCAGCGTCCACCGCCCTCCCCATGACTCAACTAATCAATTTATACCTGAAGTCTCGAGGACGCAGTGTGAACGGCACTAATTACTGGAATCTGTACGCCAATTACTTCAAGGACCACTTGCAGGAGGAGCTCGGCCGCTGTGAAAAAGAGAAATCAGAAGGCAGTGGGACACCTAGTAAGTTCATATGAAACTACGGCATGATGCTGCATGCTTATATTCTTCATAGGTGCAACATTGCGAAGAAAATGCTACGAGAAATTCAAGGACACCTTTCCCGACACCTATCAAGACATCCTATCGAAGCATGAGGAAGTAGCTCTCCTGAGCTCGTCTCCCCAAACTATTGCCCAGCGCGGACAAGCATTCCAAAAACACTATCGGAGTGTGACGAGCATCGTGCGTAATCTCTGCCGAAGTGACAACATTGTCTAACATATGTTATAGCTCGAGTCCGGCTCCGCTAGATTTGGATTTGAAGCAGCCGTTGTATTATGTGGTAAAGTGGTTAATGAAGACGGTTCGCTTGGTCATTCTTACAACACACCTGGTGCTGGTGGGGTAAGCTCATTTTCACCTTCAACGTCAACATGTACTCAGTAACTCGTAGTTCTGGGAAATGCGATGCCGTGCCAGCGATGACATGATCATCGGTCATTTAAAGGCCCACGTGTAGTAAGTACATTTATGTTCATGCTACATGATGCTTACATAGCCCTAACCAGTAACACCACATCGCTATCTGCAGTTGATGATGCCTTTCCAGAAACCGGGGACGATAGCCATCAAAACAGACACCGACCGTTACCCACGACATAGACCAGGCTTCTGATGTTGTGGAGGGAGGACGGGAGGATAACTTGAAATTCAGTGAAGCAGGAAATCACCAGGCAAGCTGGTATGTGCGACCATTGCCACTCATCTTCATTTAGACTGATATATCCTGCATCGCACCAGCCAAATTTGGCTGCAAAATACACGGCGGAAAGATTTTCCCTTGGAAGCTCATGCCAGCCGCACTCGTGGAAGCCAATCTCAGCATCCAAGGATATCCTGCACACAAGTGCCTATTTCCCGGTGAAGCTCACAGTAAACATGCATTAAACAAAGGCATTGGGGCGCTGATGTATAAGGAGATCGCTGCGCTTGTCGATTCGTTGAAGGCAGGCACTATGCGCATCATCAAATTTCCCGACGACGATCGAGGTACGTATCATATTATGGGTAACAATGTCATACTTACACGATATATAGCGGCTGCAATAGCTTCAGAGAAGCCCATAATCGAGGGCGAGGCACCTCCTTCTGAATGGCCCCATCATGGCGCGCGACGGTTGTTCCTTGACGGCCATACTGATCACAATGGTCTTCGTCGCCTCAAGCCCAGCACAGCAACTACGAAGGTCAAGAAGGGTGTTAAAGCACCCAAGCACCCTATACCACCCTCCGAAGATGAACCCTCTGATGATGAATCATTGGAGGGTGTAAGTGTCAATGATGCAGTTGGAACTTCTGCGCTCGAGCCCCTACCTCAAGTGAACGTGCGAAAGCCTAACTACAAAATGCGAGTCGAAGTTGTACCTCCACCCTCACGCCCTTTCAAGGTTGTTCGACTTCCTTTACCACTGCCGCGTCCTTCCAAAGCCGTTCCCATGCCATCTGGAACTCCGAGTGAGGTTATCGAAGTTACGTCTACCGAAGAGAATCCTGTGGGAGAGCCCGACTCTGAGTATGAAGAAGCAGGACGTGGAAAGAAGAGGAAGCTCAAGTCCGCGAATACATCGCGTGCGTCAAAGAAGATTGCCCCGTCGATTGAAAAGACTAACGCTTCAAAAGTGGGGAAGAAAGTTGGGCGAGGTAAGAATAATGTGCAATCCAAGGCACCTCCGCCTCCCTTGCCAACCTCAACTACTTTCCCTGCGAAAGGCGGTCCACTATCCCCATTAACAGTGGGATCGTCGACCGATGGACCTCCATCACCAGAACATAGTGAGTACCATGTGCATCCGCCTTACTGTTTGCTGAAAGCTTGATAGTTAATGCTGGTAAAGCAATGCGCCTTCGAGACGGACCTTCTGATGAGTCTAAAAAGGGTACATTTCATTCTTAACTTCATTGATTCAAGTGATTTAATTTACATGCTCTAGAACATGTTAAACCACGCCCAGTCACCAAGGGCTCTCGGGTGGTGATGAATCGTGGCCTGCGTATGGTGTACGGGAACTCGGACTCTGAGTCTGACGTCGACAACAGCGTGAAGGCTAATTCTGCAACCACAACGGGCGTCATCCCCGAAGCCACTGGTTCAGCTAACATCCAGTCTGATCCTTTGGAGGAGAAGTCTGCACAGACGAAGGATGAAGTAGTAGGAGATAAGGAAGAACTACCCCCAACCGCCCCATTGAATGCAGCGGCCCCCAATATTCCCGACCAGCAGCCTCTTCGTGACTCCAACCACCCTCGTCCCCTCACTCCTCACAAGACTCAGGACGAGCGTCCACATGATAACCTCCCCCATGATGCCCCTCGTGACAGCCCACTGCGCAACGCTCTCCATGACCCTCCACGCGACCTTGTCCGTGACCCTCGAGATGATCATGACCCTCCACGCGCTCCACGCGACCTTGTCCGTGACCCTCGAGATGATCACGACCCTCCACGCGACCTTGTCCGTGACCCTCGAGATGATCATGAGCCTCTCCGTGACCCTCGAGATGGTCGTGAGCCTCCCCGTCACCCTCGAGATGGTCGTGAACCTCATGAAGATGCTCGAAGTGCTGTTCGCGACCCTACACGCAACCATCATGAGGCCGTACGTGACCCTCGTGATGGCCTTCGCAATCCTTGGGATGTTGATCCTCGTTATCCTTACACCCGAGGGTACTCCCATGAACCTGCGCGTGGCCTCGACCGTGGCACTCTTCACCCCCGTGACGCATTCTACCATCGCAATCCCCGCTATGGTCCACCTCAAGATCCTTATGGATCTGGCGATATTCGTATGGAAAGTGACTTGAATACTCGAGACAGCTCACCTGTGTCCGATTTTCATGGTAACTATGGTCCTAGTGAGCGCGAACGTGCCTACCCGACCCGGTACGGTCCTGGGGGTGACTTAGGCTATACTCATGAAGGTGGATACAGGTCCCGGCACAATGACCTCGATGAGCGTGGGCAATCACTATCTCCCTATCATAGTCGTCGAGTTGGTGGAGGGAGTTACCGCGAGGAAGGATACCCTCAAGGCCCCGGTAGGAGATTTCAGGATTCGAGATGGGATGAAGGTGCTCATTTGGACTATGATGCTATACCACGAGCATTCCGTCGCGATCTGCCCAATCCCCCAAGGCCTCCTCCCGCTACTTAATGTCCTCCTTGCTCCTCAAGCGTTTTGTGATGTTTGTCGTTGATTTTCTCTTTTCACCTCATGTGCCGCTCATGCCTACATTCGCTGCTCAAGTGTTTTTGGACGTTTTTAGTTGATCTGCTCTTTTCGCATCATGTGTCGCTCGTGCCTGCATTCGTCGTCTGTTTAGTCTCATTGGCCCTGTCTCGTACCCGCGTGTTATACCCTACCCCACCTACATTGATATCTTTGTAACTCGTTTTTGTCAATATCAGTATAGCGGCTCCTCCAAGCCTGCTGTTGCCTCCGAGATCATTAATATGCTTGCCCGGATCTGATGTTTCCGTTAATCAGAACATCACAACAAGTAGATTAAAACATGAAGAAAGTACGAGATAATTGAAATAACATATGACTTGAATAAAAATAACATAGTAGGCACCAAAGGATCAAATAACATAAGGAATGTCAGAGACTGTCAGAGACCCTCGACGAAAGCTAGAGGCCTCCCGAACCTCCCGAACTTCACACATGACCCTCCATTGCAATGTAAGACAGCCCTCCAACCAGTATGGAGGTCTTCATTGCGAGGTCCTGGAGGATACTCTGAAACCTCTGGCGGAATAGAGTGGGAGACCCTCTGGAGAGGGTGGTCTCACAGACTGCTTTCCCATCACATAGAAAGCGGGTCTAACAGACCGCGGGAACACGAGCATAGTGCTGCCAAGGGTGTGCCCATGGGACCATCAGCCATATATGCAGCAGACTTTAGCGCCAGATAAAAGCATGCTTCTGTGTCAATTGACGCCAGCACAGTGGCGACTAGGCAAGTCATATTTCCAAGTTCCTAATGCCATTTCTCCCTCACTTCTTCTAGGTACTGCTCCCTCTAGGTACTGGTCCAGTACTTCTGCGGGCTCTTGAGAATCAAGATTCATAGTGTGGAAAGCTCAAGCGCTCATTCCTCAAGATGAGCGTCTCGGAAAATTTCAAACGCCTGTCTTAATAACTTGATTCTGTGACACCTCGTGTTTCGGCGCAGTCGGCTGCAGGGCTTTGGCGTCAGATAAGGACGTGCTTCCCTGATGGGCACAGCACCAACTATATATTTCCAGCATTTCTCCCTCCCTCCTTTTCTATGTCCCCCAGCCCAAAACATGGCAAGCGCATCCCCACGTTCCAGTCCCCTACCTGCTAATACCGACCTCCCAACCAACGAGTAAGTGGCAAGTTAGACTAGGTTGTCCATAATACTTATGGACGCAGGAATGCAGTCGATGCGAATGCAGTGACCGAGGAACCTGCCGTGTCCATCGAGGTCGGCCTTCATAAGAATATGTAAGTGTCGAACAGTCAGCATGGTATATTGACGTCTGACTTCATTGTCTCAAAGGTCAAGCACCCTGGAGCAGATCCGAGATGAAATCATGCCGAATAACACGAGCGAGGAGCATGTGGTGTGCGTTAAGGGAAACCTGGCCAGGAATAAGTAAATATTAACCAACCAGTACGGCACACTTGACGTCTGACTATATTGTCTCAAAGGTCAGACACCCTGGAGCAGACCCCGGAAAATGGGATCAAGCCGAATAGCGCAAATAAAAATCCTGCGGTCTCCATCGAAGGAAGCCTTGCTAAGAAAATGTGAATGCTAACTCATCAGCACGGTTCACTTGACATCTAACTATATTTTCCCAAAGATTAGACACGCTGGGACAAATTTTCAATGTCCTTGGAGAATCTACTATTGCAGGAGAACATGGCCAAAGATGATAGGTCAAAGTTCTGGCCGAAATACAAGAAAATCTCGAATGAATGCGGTGATAACTTCCTCGACCGAGCGCATGGCGATACAGTTGTTATCCTGACTTATGTGCGTTCGTTTCTATATCCATCAACGCAGATATAACGGGCAAATTAGGCTGGTCTACTCTTAACCGTCATCGCTGCTTTTGTCATCGGAATACAACCCAACTCGGCAGACACCATCAATGCCCACTTGATGCAGCTAATAGACATCACTGTTAACGGATCCAGTGCCACACATGATATCAGCAATCTTTCCTCATCTACGGAAGATTCCTCTTCCACTGTCTGGGTACAAACTCTTGCCTATATCAGCCTAGCGCTTAGCATCGTGGGTGCGCTTGGGGCTGTCTTGGGAAAGCGATATCTTAGTAACTCTTACGAGGCAACTCGGAAACATGGAGGATCTCTAGAAGAGAGCGGCATGCGGAGACAGATAAAACTGGATGGGCCGGTTCGTTTTCAGCTACCCCCCTCGTTTCAGGCATTCCTTGTGCTCCTCCAGCTTGCACTGCTGCTCTTCAGCATCTTGCTTTGCCTCAATACGTGGGCCGACCACGTGCCAACGATCGGTTTCGTGGTTACCAGTGCAGCTTCTGTCGCTCTCTCTTACGCAGGCACTGTCTTTGCGTCAGTGTGGTGGCCCGATAGTCCTTTCCAGACACCAGGGACAGATATAGTTCGAGCCTCCCGGAAAAAAATTCTTCCGAGAAGATCTCCTTGGCTTCATTCCATATCCACTAAATCGTCAATCATACGCTGGATACTAGAGACATCAACAAACCCGCCAATTTTTGAGGCTACGGCTGCGATGATACCTTTCGTGCAGTGGTCCCCGAACGTTGATGCTTCAGCAGCCTTCGCAAGTTTACGTGATAATTTCCTGGCGTCTCGTGACAGGGAAGAGCTATATGTAAAGTATGGCAAAGCCATGGCCCATCTTTGCATCCAGTCGGTGAAAATCGACAAGGAACTTCTGGTGTCTTCTTTGGGTTTTAAATTTTCGGAAACCCGAAGCCGTTTCATTCTCGATGCGTTTATGGCTGGGCGTACCGCCTACGATCAGCTCAAGAATACAGAGGAAGAAGACGCCCGACAGAAGCATCGGGCCAGTGCACGCACTGCTCTGAGAACGATGCTTGTCTATGGACTGTCGTTTAGACTTTCACGTCCGGACGATGAAGAGTTGGTTTGGAGAGGTGATCTGCAGTGGCGTCACAGCGACGTCGACGAGCGTAAGCCCAGCTGCGAAGAATTTGATTGGCTCGTCAATTACCTGGAAAGCAACGCAAACACAGACGATGACACAGAAGGTGATGCTTTGCTTGCACTGAGCGGCATGCGTGGACTAGGAAGCTCTACCAAGCGACAGTCCTACATCAGCTCGCTTATCCAGTGTATGGCCTTCAACCAGACCTCCCCGAGTGCGGCATAGCGCGCTTAGAGCTATTTTTGAAGCTCGAGAAGAACTAGCTTCTATAACCGGTGCTTCAATGCCACATGGTGTCGACACACAACTCCTGAATGAGCTTTCCTGCGCTCTTTTAACTGCTGTATGTCCAAATAGCGACCAGACAATCCACGCCACCAGACCCGACACCTCTTTCCACCTTGATCGAGACTCTTGCTACATCCACCTCATCTCTGCCCTAACAAAGAACGACGAGTGGTGTCAACGTCTGAACCCATGATGCCCATATCGACTGGTGCATTTCACTAGTTGACAGAGTCTGTCGTGATCATTATTCCAAACTCGCATTCTACCTTCTTGTGATCTTCGGGCGCATCAAGTCCTCGGACAGGGATCTTCCTTTCAGGGCTGCTGAGGAGAGTTGGCGGCTACTCATCACAATCGCATGGGACTGCACACAATCATTCTTCCAAGAGCACGGGGTGGTCGATGAAATACCAGTCATCGTGACAGCAACGAGGTTGAATTTGACAGCCTCGGATGATGGTGTTCCGAGGGAGTGGCTCGCAGATCTGGCTGCAAAGGTGCATCGTGCTTCGTTGAGTTTGCAGGAGAGACAAGTGATGCTTGTGGATGGTGGTATAGTTCAGGGTGCAATTGATGCTGCACTGTCGTCTATGCAGGGCCTGTACGAAGATCTGAATCGTATGGTCAAGCAACGGAATACATCGCAACAAGACGATGGAGCCTCAGGATCGTGAAAGATATGCATCCGTTGCGTAGTTCATTTATGTATTTGTTGTGTCTCATTCATAAATCGGTGCCTGGTTCATGAGATGGATGTTATTTAGTCACAGAATGGCTGCAGTATTTTTTTAGTTAGATATCTTGTGCGCTCTACGATTATATATAGTCCTGCTTTGTTTGTTTGAAGTCAGCGACCCTGGGCAACTGGCATTTTGGCGCTGCTATCATGTTGAGGTACTCAGTATCAATTAGATAACTTCTTTAGTGGGAAATCGATTCGCACTACATTCGAGCAGAAACCAGTCTTCCGTTTGGGTATTAGAAACTTGAATACAGGGGTGACTATGGGTTCAGAGTCAATGTGTACAACTGTCGCAGAAGAGCAATTATGAATCTACGACAGCCTTACTAGTTACAAATGTGTAATCAATATTTACGCCGCGTACAGATACGCAGAGCAAGCATAACTACGTCGATCAGGTAATTATCGTAGTAGGCAGCAAGTCCCTTGATTTATTTATGTCACCGAATATACATTGCGCGTATCAACTACAAGCACCAATAATCACCGAGCGGGCTTAGCCAAGAACCTTACCAATGAACCGAGCGCTCGCCTCCTCCGTGAGATCGCAGAGTTGCTTCGTGCTTTGAGAGTACCTCAACGCGCTCTTCCACTTTCTTGCCTTCAACGGTTTAGCTTCCCCGCAGCGAATTAGATCGAGACGCCGCTGGAACCAGAACTCGCATGAAGCATTCCAGTAGCCCGTCCACAGGCCGCATTTATCGAATACACTGGGTCGTGGCCACCAGGACAGCGTCGTCCACTGGTTTCGTCCACCATCTTTCATTGAAAAGGGTAGTCGAGAGGTCAGAATGAGTTCTGTGTTCTTATACGAAATTTTGAGGTTTACCTGCAACGTAATATACACCACAGATCAAGTCCACTTCATCATGGGTAAGGGTATCGTCCCAAGCGGCCCAGGTTGTTCCTCCATCGCTGGTGGACGAGAGAGAAACCGTTTAGCCTCTCCGAAAACTCTCACATCTGAGGACGGCCCGTTGACGAGGCCTAGACGTCCTTCAAAAGATGCTTTGCATAACCGCCATAGGATGCCACCTCTGAGAAGCGCAGCGCGTGCGTGGGGGTTCCTAAGGAAATCTTCGCGTCGTGATTCGTAAATTTTGTAGATGTGTACGTCGGGCTGAAATGAAGATGGTTTGCTGAAATCTACAAATACAGTCTTAGGGCGGAGTAGTCTTTGAGGAGGACTAGAGGATAGCCCTAGTGTGAAGAATGGGATCCCTAAACTGACCAATTCTCCGGTGAGGTCTTCCAATGAAGGTCCCCAGTTGTTCCTAACAACCTGAAGGACTGCCGTGGCGTGAGGGACGATGAGAGTCCATGGCCGGAGGTCACGTTGGACTAGGGCAGACGCAGAAGAAAGCAGACTCTATGAGGATAGGTGTTGCGATGCTACTCTACAGACAGAGCTGACTGCGTAAGTCAGTGGCTGACTAAGCTAAGGAAATCGCCGAAGGGCTGCCTCTGGGCTATGAGTCTACTATCGCTTGAGAGACTGCCTCTTAGTCTATGCCTTGGGACCCCTGGTCCATGCGCTCCCCTAAAAAACGACAGGCGCCGCCCTCGACGCCTTCTTCATCACTCTAATTCTTCATCCTCTCTATCTTCTTCTTCTTCATCTTCCTCTTCGCTTTCATCTTCGTCTTCGCTCTGCTTTTCCGTTTCTTTCTCTGTCTCTTTGTTCTGTCTTCGACTCTCTTCCGTTGTGCTTTCTGTATCTCCGTTGTCTTCTCTCTCCTTGATCTTGCGCTCATACTCTTTCTGTTCTTTCCCTAGTTGTGTTCCCTCTCTTGGAGTGAACACTCTTAGCCGTCTTGCGCTGAACTCTCCCTTGAGTGGGATTCCTTTGAGCGTTTCGAGCTTGTATGAATTGACGATTTTCATTTTTATGCGACGCGGGACCGACCACTTTGGTACGGGCTTTTGTTCCGCTTTGAACGTATAATCTAAATCGCTGCGATAAACCTGAACTAGTTGACCAGACTTGAATATAACCTCACCCGGTGCTCTCTGTAACAGCCTTTTATCGACCGCTGCTTTTCTCTTGATTGCGTGTCTCACTACTTCGTTGTAACCATCTAATCATTGTTGCTCGACGTATGCGACTTGCGTTAGCATGTCCGAGGTGCGTATTGCTGATGTGCTCTCTTCTATGCTTGTCTTTGACGTGTTGACTACTAAACCTAAAAGGAGTTCCTTGGGGGAAAATTTTAGCGCTGGTAGCAATCGATAATTGAGAGCGTGAACTGCATTGTCTAGATGGTCTGACCATGACTTAGGCAGTGTGTCCCATGATGTTTCTTGATCTTCTCCTATGTTTGGTGTGCATAGTCGTTTCAGTACATGAAGTAGGAGCTTATTCGTCCCTTCTACTAGGCCGTTGATCCACGGAGAGTATGCCGTGACGGTGTGTAGCTTGCATCTTCTTGCTTCGCAGAATGTTCTCACTGCTTCGTTCTTGAAGTGTTTGCCTCCATCTGCCATAAACGTTTCTGGCGGCGTGAATGCATTGAATATACTGCTAAGGCTCTCGATTGTTGTCTTTGCGCTGCCTGATACTTTGAACTTGAATACCCAGACATGTTGCGAGAATGTGTCTAGGTAAATGCCGAGCGTGTTGTATCCATTCTTTCCCTTCGGGAGTGTTAGATAATCTCCGACTAACAATTCAAATGGATGTCGCCTGGTTATTGGTTCAAGGAGTGAGTGTATGTGTGTAGGACCGAAATTTTTACACTTAGCACAATCTCTGATAGCGTCTAGAATTGACACGTCTAGCTTGGGGCTGCATATTTGGTCTAGCAGGGCGATCTTGATTGCGTCTCGCCCCCAGTGACCTCCTTCTGCGTGTTCCTGCGCTGCTAATATTTTAGCTTCTTCTCTTGTGATGCACTCTACCTTTGCTCTTGCTCTCGTCGATGTGCCTCCTCGCAGTTTCCAGAGTTTCTCATCCTCGATGATGTATTGTTCTGCTCTGTGGCGTGCTCGGCGCTTCTCTCTAATGTCTGTGGCCTGGTCTAGGTTGTAGATGGCCTCTATGACCTCCTTGAACACCGGTTCATTCGCGAATCTTGTGCAAAGTGCATCTATTGCTGCGCTTACCGTCGTGATGTTCATGATGTCATTGATTAGACCCGTTCTTGCTTCCCAGTCTTCACTTACCGTCCACTCACTTCCGTCTCCTGGTTCTGGTGGTGTGTTTTCCCACTTTTGACTAATACCGTCAGCTACGACATTCAACTTTCCGGGTACGTGCCTTATATCCACTATGTGGTATGCTAATATTCCTTCTCTCCATCTTGCATGCGCTACGTTCAGGTGCGGGTTGAGTAGTGTACTTTTCATCGCACTGCAATCCGTCTCGATTTCTACCGGGAAACCCCATATGATGCTCGAGAATTTGTCCAGTTCAAACTTGAGTGCCGCAAACTCTAGCAGGTATGATTTGTACTTTTTTCCATTGCTGATGTTCTTTTTGATGCAAAACCTAGTGGATGTAAGCGCTCTATCCATCTTCCTGTGGTTGTTTGCGTCTTGACTCTTTGCGATAGGACTGCGGCGAAACCTTCAATACATCCGTCGGACGTTACTACAAAGTGCGACCCATCGTATCTTGGCGCTTGGAGTACTGGTCTTGACGTGATTGCTGTTTTTAGATCTAGGAATGATTTAGTATGTTCTTGTGTCCATATGGTACTCAGCTTGAAATTGCTCATGATTCGTCTATATGCTGCTTTTGACATAGTACTGTCCACTGGTACTTTGAGTAACAGGTTTCGCAATGGGCCTTCTCGTTTTGTGTATGGTAAAATCCTGTGAGACCCAGAAACAATGCTAAATTTTGCGCGTCTTGTGGTTGTCGCCAGTCTACAATCGCTGTTAGCTTCGTTAAGTCTGGTTTGACCCCGTCTCGTCCTATTGTTCCTCCCGTGAATTCCGTCTCTGACATACACAGCTTCGTCTTGCTAGGTGCTATTGAAAATTTGCATTCTTGGAAGCGCTGAAATAAAACCGTTAGTTTTTCTATCATCTTTTGAAATGTACTCGCTGCGCATCCTCCGTCATCCATAAACAACTCCATATAGTGCGTTATTAAAAAATTGTGTAGTCGCTCTGCTAATGCGTCACAGAACGCTGTTGGCGCTCCTGTGATCCCCATTGGCATTCTTCGATACCAGAAGTATCCCCGTCCTTCAATGTAGAATGCTAGGTACGGGCACCACTTTTCCGGTACTTCTATTGCGTAGTATCCTGCTGCAAAATCGAAGATCGAAATGTAACACTGACCACTTAACCTCTGCTGTTTTGATAGTATGTCACCTTGTGGCACGATACGACCTCTGTTACCTTGTTGAGTTGTGCAAAATTTTGACAAATCCTCCATTTCTTTGGGCCCTGTTCTGTTGCTTCACTGACTATTGGTATAGGTACTTCTCTGGGTGGTAGTTCATACGCTGGACGTAACCCTGCTGCTCGGTGTTGGTCGTTGATTCGTTGTTTCAACTCGTCCCATGGTAGGCCACCCATTTCATGTGCTCTTTGTGCTATGACTGTCGTCATGGTGCATCAAATCAACTCCGGTGGTGCTTGTTCGATGATTCCTGCTGCTAACATGTCGTTTGCTCGCTCGTTGTAGAACTTCGATTGTTCTGGCGTTAATGGGCATTGGTGCATCCGTAAGTTGAATATTGCGTTCTCTGGGACATTTAAATTTAGTAACACCCCCGGGATTGGAATTACCTCCTTCAGTGCTAACGCAAAGCAGTCTGCGTTCTTCGTTATGAATCTTTCCAGCTCTTCCCTTTCTTCTACTGATAAATTGTCCCCGAACTTGATTTGCCGTAAAACTTCTTTGACTCTCGCTGGGTTGAAAGGGTCCGTCTGACGTGTGTATATCGATGGGTCATTCATTGCTGGTTCTAATTCCGGGATCTCTCCTAGCAGTTGTTCTTCTTCGTTCTCTGATGCTTCTTGTGTGATTAACACATTGACATCTGTTGCTTGCTCTGTCAAAACACTTGTGTCAATGTGTGTTTGCTGTAGCGGCGATAGGGCTCTTGTGACTTCCCTTGAGGGGAGTTTCTCACTTCCCCACTTTGTTCTCTTGTGTTCTGATTGTCTCCTCTCATCTGCCGTATTGCTTCGTAGGCCTCCACTGACCCATGGGGATTTCTGATGGTTTTGTGTTGTTTTCTGATGCTCATTCGTTTTTTTTGTTTGGCTATTGTTCGTTGTTGTTTTTCATCTAGCGTTAGATTAACTTTGTTTTCTCTTTGTAGCATCCGTTGGTCCGCTATTTGGTTGCTTAGCAAAGCCATCTGTGTTTTGTCTGCTATCGTGATGGTGTCTGGCGTGTATTCATGGACTGCTGCGAATGCTTGAAGCATTGGCTTTCCAAATAGGAAGCCCCAGCTTCCCCCGCTGTCGAAGACTTCAAACGTGCTCCGTGCTTTAACGCCCTTGATTCGGACTGTTCCTGTCCACCTAGTGACTGCTTTGATGATAGTTCCGTTCGCCATTCTTAGTTGCCTGTCCGATCTGCTCCATTCGTGAAGTCTATGTTTGACCTTCTCGAAGATTGATGTGCACATTGCACTAACCATGGCGCCGTTGTCAAACAACACTCTAACTCTGACTAACTCTCCTTGGGGACCCTCTAGCTCTATCTGGTGAATAAACGGGATCGCTTCGCCCTTCTCTAACTGCGTTCTTGTGATGTGTGGATGTCCGACCAAATACAGATCAATGATCTCGATTTCATTGTGAGATTTGGTGGTACATGTGGGGTTCCTAGTTACACATTCAGCAGAGACTTTGGGGCTAATGGTCCTGTTTTTGTCCTCGCACATTGCCTCTTCGCATGCGAGGACCTTGGCTCCAGCTTGGGTACTTTCGATGTTCCGGGCTGACATATCGCTCTGTTCTACGTCGACCCATCCACTTTTCCCTGCTGTTCTGGGATTTCTTCAATCCAGGCTTGCGTCTCCTCATACTTGCTGTTCATAACGAGCGAGATTGGTGTTGCTGTTGCTCTGTTGTATGCGCCTAGCACCTTGCTCGTGATCGCTCTCCATGCTGATTCTCTGCGTGTTAAACGTTCTGTGTGGTCCGATGGTAACGGGCAGTTTCGTCCGTTATGCCCATGGGTTCCACAAGCAAAGCATTCACTGGATGCAATAGCCGCTGTACCTGGTTTCAACGGGTATCCCATTTCTTGCGTGACTCGTGCGCCTTCTCCCCATTTCGCATTCCACTGTGCTAATTGTGCTGCGTTGTCCGCGTGATGTGGTAGCGCTTGAATCAGCTGCCTGACTAAGGTTTTCGTCTCTCTTCTGTTATCATGATTGGTTGTTGTGATGCTGTTGGCTGACGGCTATACATGGATTGCGGGGTCTGATTATTGTGTGTTGCTGGTACTCGGGCGTATGTGTTGCTGGTCATGGATGCTGATGGCGAAGCTGATGAATTGAGTGACATTTTGTTAAATTGGTTCTGAAGTGTCACGATCGGGTTTTGTGCTGGTGTTCGCGTTTGAATTTGAGCTAGATCTGCCCGTAGCGCTTTGAGTTCCTGGGACTGCTTGATAGATTGCTCCTGCTTTTCTACGAGCCTGCTCCCTTTCAACTCTGTCACTGCCTTCGTGAATTCTTCCCACTTCGTGTATTCTTCGTCCTTGAGCAAGTCCTTTACAACATCTGGCAGTTTGCTTCGTACCTGCCAGATCATGGACGTGCTTTGGTCAATACCTGCATCTGTGGCTAGCTGTAAGGTCTTTGCGGCCCATGCTATGTGCGTCCAACACTCCCTGTCATATAGCATTGTCTTCTTCCCTACTTCTCCACTCGCCAAAACATGTTCTAACAGCTCCTTCTCATATTCTGCTTTCGTTTTTTCTCTATTGTAACCGGTGGCCAATGCTTCTCGAATGCTGTTACAAATGCCGTCCACGTGGCTTTGTCTGTGGAGGCGAGGGCTTTGAACCACTTTTCTGCTTGCACGCTAGTTCCAAGGTAATCTCCAAATGCGTCTATTTTATCATTGCTTTGTGCTATCGCTTGTTGGCGCACTGCTCGGTTGAACGATTTCAGAAAGTCGGCCGGGTTTTCTGATGCTCTTCCATCGCCATGGAATATCTGCAGGGTTTCTGTGGGCATGGCTCTCTTGATTTGCGCCAGTGCGAAGAATCTGGCTAAATCATAATCTGGTGCCATGGAAATGGATGTGAGTGGTTCCTTCTTTGCATGACGTTGCAATGGTTGAAGTCTGAGCGATGGTAACTGGAAATCTAGCTCTGGGACTTCTAGTTCTGGGAAGGGGACCTGCTCTTCTTCCTCTTCAAGGCTAGTTAGTGATGAACTTCTCGAGCGGTTTGGTGTGTTGTGTGAGGATGGCTCTGGTGTGTCAAGTGGGGAGGAAGCGGTCGATGTTTCCATTGACCAGTCTGACCAATTCGTTTTTAAACGTACGTTGGTCACCGCTTGTCCTGTTGTTGTTCTGGGTCTCAAACTATCAGTGCTAGGCATCAAAATATACACATAAAAAAGTAAGGTAGACTCAGCCCTTTTCTTGTAATACGTGCAGGCTTTTAACGCGTGGTGCGACGTAATATGATTGCTGTTTTCTGTAAATGGTTCGTTCTTGTTCCGAAGTCTTCCTAATTCTGATAAAAATGTTCTAGACTGATGCTGCGTGCTATGACTATAATCAACGTTGAACTCTAATGCGAAACTGGGTTGATTCGGATTTGCTCTGTTCACCACGTTGGATGGGCAGACGCAGAAGAAAGCAGACTCTATGAGGATAGGTGTTGCGATGCTACTCTACAAACAGAGCTGACTGCGTAAGTCAGTGGCTGACTAAGCTAAGGAAATCGCCGAAGGGCTGCCTCTGGGCTATGAGTCTACTATCGCTTGAGAGACTGCCTCTTAGTCTATGCCTTGGAACCCCTGGTCCAACGTTCATTTAAGGGGATGATGCGGTAGACAGGTGGACTGAATTTGGCTTCATAGATGAATCTGAAGGCATATAGGGCTTTCTTCAGAGAGACATTGGAGTCATGCAGGTCCCATAGTTCGGGGGGTAAGGGGATGCTCTCCTCCACATGCAAAAAGATCCACCGAATAGATGTGGCGTGGTCTTCATCTTGTAATTGGACATCACGCTCTGCCATATACCTGCGCACTTCATCGACGGTGGGTAGCAATTCCATCATGCATACCCTTATAGCTCGGCAGAGACTCCAAAATTGACTGCGAGCAAGGCTTCATGCCATACCTTGTGCTCAAGATGGTCTCCAGATACTGTTGGGGTAACTTTTTGTTCTCGCCGACGTCATTGTCATCGGAACTGTCAGGTGTAGCAACGCCCTGTGTTTCCAGAACCATAGGGCCTGCGTCTACAGTAGGTGGCATGGTCTGCACATCCTCCAAGAACTCGTCCAAGATGGGGTATGGGCAAGGTGCAACTATATGGCTGTCCATCGAGTGGTGGTTGAGTCGGAGCAAGTGGTTATGGCTGAGGTGCATAAGTTAATTACGAAATGCGCAACGATAAACGTAGTGAATTCGTACCTAGGCAATAAGTTTGGTAGAAACCGTATCAATATTGTTCACCTATGAATAGAATGAGATTGACCAGACTCAAATGTGAAACCTTTGAACTCGGTGCAAATGTCAGAATGCTTAGGAATAATTCGATTACATCGATCAGAGATGGCAGCCATGCGGATTTATATACATCGAATCACAGTCAAAGGGTGCAGTATGGAGCGTTGATCGAGTGGCAAGAAACTTAGAACATCAAAGGGAGGGGAGTGACAGAAACAATGAACTTGTTGCCGTTTGTGTCAAAAATTTGCCTGCTGAAAGGAACACAAGGTGTCATAATTGGACGCACCTTAAACAACTTGTATGAACAGGCTTGTACTATGTAACTTCCTCGACTCTCAAAACCGAATATCCATAGGCTCGACTTGCGGTCTGTGCCTCTCGCTGGTGACTGGAGTGCTGAATTCGCCTGAATAGTGCTTATCGTGAGTGAAAAAATCTGTGAGTCAGGATCTCTAAAGCCAAAGAAGATAAGCCTGTCGGCTCACATTTTCTTGTCGATTAACTTGTTCAACTAGTCCAAAGGTCATACGTGGTCCACCATTTTTATGAGCTGGGACTCCGACCATGCAACAGATGCCACCAGTGGTGCCATGCCAGATGATGTGGGGCCATACTGACCGGGTACAATGTGCTGTACGCCTGCCTGTTGGACGGCGCATCATTACCCGTTCCTCACTACAAATATGGGACTTGGAGAGTGACGCACAAATAGGCGACAATTGGAAGAACGAGAGGGATGAGGCTGCAAAGTGATGACAATAATATTGGGAAACCGTTCACTATTGCGAGCGGAAGTGATTATGGGACAGTGAGGTTGTGAGCCGTGAGACGGGTAAGGTCATCATCAAATGGGTCGGAAACACTTGGCATGTGGAGTCACTGTGCTGCCAGTGGGGTGCTGATGGTGAGCGAGTGCTAAGTGGATCCTGATTCCTTTAACTGGACAGCAAGAATGTGGACGTCCAGGACGGTGAATGCGTCCTTGGTCCAATCAAGACTGACGAAGGATACGTCTGTGTTCACAGCGATGTACTCGCCCGGCTTAACAACTTTGTGATGGACGGATACAACGAGAATACAGCAAGACCTGGGATGCAAAAACAAGTAAAAGATTCAGCTCTTGACAGTGGCCGCGTGACAAATCATCGCATCGGATGATAAAAAAGCTTACCTCCACGTCGTATGGCTCGGATATTCGACACTGCCAGTACTTGGTACCTAGCCAGTAGATGGGGTCACTAGTCAGATCTAACGACTGTCTTCTTTGCGAGTACATCGGACTGATAAACCTGTGACAGCGCGACTGTGGAATCTCGATGTGGCCGCAGTCGCCTTGATCGAGGAGCGACCTCGGGAACCGATCATATCAGGCACCAAAGGTCGACATGTGCATAGAACCGAAAGCACGAACGTCTTGAAAGCTTCCTGGCAGTGGTTTCAGTATTCTGTTTAGTAACTTTAGTTTATCACGGGCATTAGAGTACCCACTGAGTATTTAATCCAACTCGTGTAAAATCCCCTTAGGATTTCTCCCAATCAAACCAGACTGGTATCTGGTTATTAAAGTTAATGTTCTATTTATGCCGCCATCCAAAGTCTAACTAAACTTTTACCTGCCCAGTGCCGTCACACTCGATAAAGGCCTAGTCGTATTACTTAGGTCACTTATCGTGGGAGTCGAGAACCAGGAAAATGCTGCGCTACTGCTGCGACTGCTGCGACCGCTGTGCTATTTGCTGCGACGTTCCAGGAAACAACAAATATTGGGGTTCTAGTTATACGGTATAAGTGTAATTGATGCACGCGCACAGCATTATCACGATAATTCCTTTTGAAATTTACTAATTTGTATTAGCCAGGCTCCGATAGGAATTTCTGCCAGTGGAAGAGCCCGTGACTCGGACAAGCCCCAAGGCCTCATGATCATACACTATGTGAATCGGCGTCACGCCGGTAGCCCGCATATATTCTTTATGCACATACAAGTATTCTGAATCTCTCACGTCCTTTCATCCATCTCCAGGATGAATACAGAGAAAAGTGACTCGGAGAGGACAGGTTTCTATCAGTCTTCAAAGGAGCTGCTTCCGCACCCTCCAGGTCTAGTTCAAGCACGCAGGCATTCAAGGGGGTCTGTCTTCCGCAAGCTCCTGGTTCTTGGAAGCTCTGCCCTTATCTTTTCCCTACTCTACAACGCTCACTCTATCTCCTGCTTTGTTGGTTTGAAGAAAGACAAGTACTCTGGATCCTATGACAATTACATAAAGCGTATCGAGGAGGGCTATCTGTGAGTACGAACCTCATGGTGTGCTGTCGATCCGGGTCTTAGTTCATGGTGGTCTGTAGTGCCGTTCCATCCACGGATTCTGCGCTCGCAGCCTCGCGCGATTATGCCACACACCCACATTTGGCTGGCGCAGTGGAAGACTTCCAGGACGCAAAGGAGATCCTTGCCCTCTTCCACTCCGAGTTTGGTATCCCTACGCCTGCTACCGAGCCCATCTACTCGGCAGGCTCCCCTGAGTCCCGCGAGGCAACTCTCAGCACATCATCTAAGCTTAGCAAACCAGCCGCATGGGTTGATATCTATTACCCAGTTATGAACACAGGGAATGCGGATGGCATGGTTGTGGAACTGCTCGGCGAGAGTGACAAGCCCATCTGGAAAGCCGACCTGCTTGAGGATGGTGACCCTCGTGACGAGACCGCTGCTGAGTATAGGAATGCCGTTCCACCCTTCCATGGTTTCAGCGCCGCTGGAGAGGGTATCGGTCAACTGGTGTACGCCAACTACGGGACCCATGATGACTATAACAAGCTCGTTGACGCTGGAGTTGACCTCACAGGCAAGATCATTCTGGCTCGCTATGGTGCTAATTTCCGTGGTCTTAAGGTGAGCTGCGTGGTATCCAATGGCACAACAGATTGCTGATGTCAGACAATAAGGTGCAAGGCGCAGCAGAGCGTGGAGCAGTTGGTGTCCTGATTTACTCTGACCCTCGAGACGACGGGAGTGTCACCGTGGAGAACGGATATGAGCCGTACCCTGCTGGTCCTGCCAGAAATCCTACATCCATCCAACGTGGCTCAGTTATGTACCTCTCAATCTACGCAGGTGACCCCACCACGCCAGGCTACCCCGCATATGAGAATGCAACTCGCGTTGAGGCAACTAACATTCCAAATATTCCAAGCTTGCCACTTTCCTGGGCCAATGCTAAACTTCTTTTTGAGGAGGAGCTCGGTGGTGTCCCTGAGGGTACCAAGTTGAATGGGAGAGTTGGAAGCAGAAAAGTCAGGATGGTTAATGATGGTAAATATTTGCATTAACCAGTTATATCGTCGCTAAGCATGGTCGCGCAGTGGATGCCAAGGTCACACCTATCTGGAACACTATGGCTGCAATTCCTGGCCATATCAAAGACGAAGTCGTTCTCCTTGGGTGCCATCGTGATGGTCAGTTGTGCAATCTTGCTGTCTAGTATGTATCTCATACTTCGACGTAGCTTGGGTTATGGGCGCTGCGGATCCCACATCCGGCACTGTCTCTCTTCATGAAGTTGTTCGCGGACTTGGGGCTCTTTACAAGCGTGGATGGAAACCACTGCGTACAATTGTCATTGCCAGCTGGGATGCTGAGGAGGTCAGTGCGATCAGTCGTTGTTAGTAGCTCTCCTTATCCATAACTGCCACAGTACGGTCTCATTGGAAGCACTGAGTGGGGCGAGGATTTTGCCGACTGGATCCAGGAGCATGTGGTCTCTTACGTCAATGTCGGTATGTTGTTCGTCCGTTTATCATGTATGTGCTACCTGCTTAAAGTCGGTGACAGACGTTTCGGTTTCTGGTTCTCGCTGGCACACTTCTGCTTCCCCTTCTCTCGCACACCTCATCCAGCGTTCCGCCCAAGACGTCCCTCACCCTACTGATGCAGAAAAGACCCTGTGGGATGCCCATTTTGACGTTGGTCCTTACGGAGGCCCTGTGGATGCCGAATTTGCTCGCATGTGGGATAAAAAGATCTCAAATGAACCACAGATTGGCCCACTGGGATCAGGAAGTGATTATACAGTCTTCCTGCAGAGACTTGGCGTTCGTCTCTTAACTTATACTCCTGCCGGGCATTCAACTCATTATGTGATTGTAGGTTGCCAGCTCCGACCAGGGCTTCGGTAATACTCCGACAGACGCGCCATACCACTACCACTCTATCTATGACTCGCAGATGTGGCAAGAAGTGTACGCAGACCCTGGTTTCTACAAGCATGTTTGTTGTCACACACTCATCCTCGTGTTCGCCAATCTCACCTGTGACTAGGTTGCTGTCGCGCAGAATTTGGGTCTGTTGACATTGCGTCTCACAGATTCCATAATCCTCCCTTTGAATACCACTCAGTATGCGCTTGAGCTTGACTCCTACGTCGACACGTAAGTGTCAGCAAACGAAGTCGCATTATATGCCTTGCTAATCCTTTCCAGCGTCATCGATTCCGCTTACCGTGAGGAGATTCTGCCGGATCTGTTCCCTCTCAGGAGGGCCATTGCAAAGTTGCAGGACGCAAGCTTTAAGCTTGACGAGGAGAAAGCTGCCGCCGAGAAAGCTCTCCATAAGGCTTTGAAGAAAGTCGATCGTGTTCGCGTCGGCAGGCGGATCATCCGATGGATCAAGGAGCATCTCGGTATTGGTGCCCAGGAGGTCCATGACTTGAGGTTTGATGCGCTCAAATGGATGTCGTCTGTAACAGAGTCCAGTTTCTCAGAAACGGATATCTGCAAGTCGCGCGGCAAGGGCCCGTTGTGTGAATTCATACGCGCCGCTAAGAGGGTCAGAATCGCCAATCAAAAACTCGTGGCGTTTGAACGCGGATTTCTCTCTGAGGATGGCATTAAGGATAGGGAATGGTACAGACATTTGGGCGTTGCTCCCGGGAAACACCTCGGTAAGCCTCTCTGCGGTACTGCTGAGCAGTCTAACTAATGATTTCAAACAGGGTATGCGCCAACGACACTGCCAGGCCTAACGGAAGCCATTGTCTATGACGAGGATCACGAACTCGCCGAGTATGAGGCCGCTCGACTGACCGCACTCATCGAGAACCTCGCAGACTTCCTTGAGGTCTAAAACACAAAGTATACTACCGCTTGTAGGCCTCCAGGCCAGCGAACACGAAGCTCAATATGAACCTGCTTTCTGAGACACTGTTCAGCGTCGGTCTAGTGAATTCGAGCGAACTGGTAGCGGCAATCGAAGGTGCATACATGATTCTCAGCCTCGTCAACCAGTCAGAATGATGGAGCGGCACGTACATTTGAGATGCAAAATCGCGCGCAAAGAGCATCCTCTGTCGACGCGTAAAATTCGGATCATTGAGGTTTCTGCTAGTTTCATCACCAGAACCTAGCTGCATTACATACTTACATAGCATCGCTATGCAGGACCTTCCTTACGATTTCTTCTGCACAAGATGAAACGACTCACGTCAGCTACGTTTTTGGCTTTTCTTGCGCTGTCCGGCCCAGTCTGTTACACATCTCGGACGCGATAGGTCTTCCAACATGTTGCAGTTGGATGACGGGATATCCACTGGCATATTCTTTTACGATACGGTAATTCTTGTTGCTCGACCCCGTGAGTATGATTACAGAAACAACACTTGAGATATATGCGGCGTCGAGGGCCTTCACTTCCAGGTCCCTCAATGGCTCCTAATTTTGAAGGCGAACGCGCTGTAGCTGAGACTGATATTGACATCTGTTCGATGTTCGTGATTCCAAGCCAAGTGCTCAATTAATGCTGACGTCGGATTTCGAGTAGCACCACATCTCTAATTCCGTTGAGACTTCGCAGCCTCCAGGACCCCAAAGTTGCGGTTTTCGGACTGGACTTGAGCGACTACAAATCTGAAAATTGGGTAAATAAATCAGAAACGCCGTTAGTAATGGGCCCGAGTAGACAAGCAGACATCGCAATTCGTAAGTACAATTAGAATGTGACATGAAATACACACACAGTAAGACCAGCCCCGCACTGCGTGCATAACCTTGATTAAACGTCAAATACCGGTGTCGAAAATCGGCCTCTTCCAAATTGCATCTCAGATACATCCGTCAATGTCGCATGGAATTGCGATCGTCTTTCACTTGCTCGTAGGTTGAAAAGGATCCGAGAGGCTAGGACACTGTGGATGACGACTTGCGGACTGGTCATGATCAGTTGGTGATGCGATCGTGCAAGTTGATGTGCTCACGAGTCTGTGATCGAAACCCACGTGATCTGTGTCCAACGATAAGCGCATGGATTGCTGGCTAGATGTACTGCAACGCACCGGAGGAACCATGGTCAAAATTATGCTGACCGAAGACATGGCTTGATAAATAGTAGGAAGTCAGCCCGCGGGTAGTTTGGGGGAACAGAGTCATCTTACCCATGATGCACATCACGTATCTCAGCGAGTCGCTAAAATATGCTTCTTGGAGGGGTCCGATGGGATTGCTGTACTTGCTGAATCTGATGTACAACATCAAGCACAAGAGGACTGATTCATGCATGAGTCCGAAAATCTTCTCGAGAGATGAGACGACTGACCTAGTTCATAGAGTAACAGAGCGGCGTACTCGAAGACATTATTCCTCGAGCCCGAGAGAAGACAGCTGGCCGGATCCGCTGTTCGCCCTCCATGAGCATGATTGTCATAAAAATCAAAGACAACTTCACAAACGTATCGGGGTCGTGAAATCAAAAAATAAGGTAGTGTCCGATAAGATGTAAGAGACCACGAAACAAACCTAGTAGTAGTTCAGCACCAAGCCTTCTATGGTGAAATCTGAACGAAAAACATACGACAGGAAAAACCAAAAGGAATGTCAGTAGACGTTTACTCTTCCAGGAAGCATAAATCCTCGTTATTAGCAAGCCTAGAAGGAAAATATCAACATCGGGAGCTCATTCAAGACATGACATACCTTCTGCGGCTAGAATGCAGATGATATGCAACACTGCGTAATAAGGGGTGGATGAGAAAGTAATGTACCACAGGCTGTGCATGCTAACCGTTTGACGCTTGCCCGAATCTAACACACTGCACGGTTGCTATGAACATTTGTACATTGAAGGGGTGCAATCACTCACGCTTTCACCAGGATAGTATTGTGTTCGAAGGGCAGCTATCCATCAGTCATGAGGAATCGTCGCAAAAAGCGAGTTAGAAACACGTGCAGCTCACCGATGAATGTCATCCCAATGCCGAAAAATGGCAAGTATCGTGATACAGTGAATATAAATCGCACAAATGTCCATTTGCGGTGCCAGACCCATTGTGACTTTGGGATGGTCATTAAATAAGTAGGTGATCAACGTACTACACGCACCTCTGCCTCTAGGGTAATGAAGTAGTCAAAAATCTAAGGAAGAACGTCAGCATCACATACAAGTCAGCGATTACACTCACTAAAACAGCAAACATTCCGACTAGGTATTTCAGTCAGCCATGGTATTCGTACAAGCATTAGAACAGCACCATTGAAGTACTGAACGGATTAAGAGTTAATCAAAGTTGTTTAGAGCTCGACTTGTTGCGCACCTTAGATGCCTGAATGCCCGCGTCGACGTACAAAGCAGTAGGGTGACTCATCAAGCTCAAGTTCGTAGAAAGCAGATCAACACTTTTTGTTGTGCATTACACCATTTAAGCATCCGAGTCCGACGGCTGTGTTACGATGTTTACACGTTATTCAAGTTGTGTGAATGCCGATGCTCATTAATAGTAGAGCAATCATCGACATCGCTCAAGCGCTCAAGGGGTGAATGAAGGCTGTAGTGTTGTGGGCAGAACTGACACTGCCAGGCAGATGGTATTGGAACCTCTTGGGCAGAATGTGACAGAACTCACATCACGGAAACGGTGAACATATGAGAAGGCAATCTAAAGCAATATATTGCAGAGCATCCTGGCCAACGATCTACGTAAATCTGCTGACCACTGTTACATGGAAATGTTTGGCATTGTCGAGTAAAGAGCGATTTGAAACTTGAAGTACACCAGCTATTTGCAATTCAAAACATAAATAAGAATGTTCATAGTAATCGGCATATAAGTATATTATCATCCCTAATTATATCTGCTGCAATGTAAGGATGCCATAGGACTGCTCCGAGTCGTGTCAAGGCTGTACTAGGACTTGGATAAACAGTTATCATTCACGCACATGATGATGAGACGCCACCGCACTGCCTTCAGTGGCTTACCTGCAACTCGTCATCAGCAAAACCGCCAAGGCCCAGCTGCTGGTTTTGTCAGATGCAAACATTAACGCGCCACCGTTTCCCCCACCTCAG